GCGCGCGCGCAGGGAGGATGAGTGTGGGGGAGGCAGGAATTCCATCCCAGCAGAAGTCTCAATGGGGCTTTGTTGTGGGCAAGGTGGCTAGCCTGACAGCCTCTGCCCTCGGCCCCATCCCTTCCCTCACCCGGGCAGACTCTCTTGGTCCATCAACCAACATCTACTGATTGCCCACTAAGGCAGAGAAGGAGGAGGGTGGAAAACACCTTCTCTCAGTTGACAACGAAAGGGGGAGTCTTGACCAACACCGGGTGGTAAACCTAAACTCAAATGATGAATTTATAATACATGATGATATCGTCAATTCACTGTCACTGTGCAGTTTGAATGGAAACTGGTGGTGTGGGGGAAGGGGCATCTTGGATTGGACTGAATTCAGGAACCAGGGGCCAGCCACTGGCCTGCAACGCTTCTGTGCGGCAGTCGGCATTGGAAGCTTCCTAGCTCCAGCGCCAGGGCTGCCAGGGGCTGGAGGCCTTGCCCTCCCCTCACCCCTCCTCGGGCGGTTAGGCGAGCCTGAAGACATTTTTGGAACCAACTTCCAATGATTAAGCTATCACTTGAAATTATCTTTCCATTAAACACAACTAAAGCAACAGGCTAAAAAACCCACTGCCGTCGAGTCAATTCCTACTCATAGCGGCCCTATAGGGCAGAGAAGAATTGCCCCATAGTGTTTCCAAGAAGCGGCTGGTGGATTCGAACTGCCGAGCTTTTGGTTAGTAGCCAAGCTCTTAACCACTGCACCACCAGTTTTTTGGCGTTTAAAGTAACAGAAGGGTGTGAATTATGTCCACCATGAACCCCAGTTTTCAGTTTGGGCAGTTTCTCCAGTTAGACTTCCGAAATCATTCAGTCTCACGTGCCATTTCCAGCCACCCCAGAGGCTCTGTCGGAGGACACCCACTTTCCCACCACTCCTTCTTCCTGCCTCTTAGCAAAGGGTTCCTCAGCTTTGGCTGGGATCCTCGGAGCAGCCCCCTCCCCCACACGGGCCTGCCAGGTCGTCTGTCCGTGGTCTGTCTGTCCCGCGGCCGTGACCTGGCTGAGGCACGCGCGCACTGGGCGGGGGGCGCAGGCGGCGTAGGGTGGCGAGCCCTGGCCGCTCTCGCCTTTGGCCCCGTCCGGATCCGGACCCCCCACCCGACCCTCCCCATGGAAAGAACTGCGCCGGCGGCCCACGCTCCTCCGGCCCTGACCCAGAATGCCCGCCCTCGGCCCCGCAGACCCCGCCTCAGGCGCCGCCGCCTCGAGCCGGAAGACGCCGAGTCTGCACCTCCCGGTCGCCGGCCGGGCACAGCGCGGAGAGTTCTCGAGGACTTAAAAACGGAAAAAGAAAAAAGTCTCGAGCGAGAAAATCCGTCAGCGCCGGCCCGCCCACCCCGGCTTCGCGGTCCAGTCACGGCCCAGGCTGAGGGAGGGACGGCGGGCGGCCCGGGCGGCCGGCCCAGGGACGCGGGCTGCAAGCAAGTGCACGCCCGGCGGCCCGCTACTCACCAAGAGGCGGGAGGAGGGGACGCGGACGCCGCCCCGCGGTGGGAAGTTCCTTATAAAGAGACAACGCGGCCGGGCCGGCACAGACGGCCCGCTTGCCTGGCGCGTGGACTCAGTGTGGTGTGCGCAGGTCGGACGCGACTGTGCCCGACCCCGACCCGGCGCCGAGCGCTCGGCCGCCGGGCGCGGCTCTGGGGCGCCCCCGCGCGGACGGGCATGTGCGCGCCCCGCGGGCATGGCCTCGGCGGTTTTTGAGGGCACGTCGCTGGTGAACATGTTTGTGCGTGGCTGCTGGGTGAACGGCATCCGCAGGCTCATCATCAACCGGCGCGGCGACGAGGAGGAGTTCTTTGAGATCCGCACCGAGTGGTCGGACCGCAACGTGCTCTACCTGCACCGCAGCTACGCCGACCTGGGCCGCCTGCTGCGGCGCCTCGGCGACTCCTTCCCCGAGGACCGGCCGGCGCTGGCGCGCTCCCCGCTGCTGCCAGGTGCGCGGAGGGCGGGCACGGCCGAGCGGCCCGCGGGCAGGAAGGCGGTTGTGAGGGCGCTCTAGGATGCAGTCGGGGGCAGGGGCCAGGGGAGAGTTACTGAAGCCTAAGGCTGCGTCCGTCTCCTTCTCCCCGGTCCCCGACACGGGGCAGGGGCGCTCAGGCCCTCCGACCCCAGCGAAGGCGCCCACTAGGCACCGCCCGGAGGATCCCGGTGTTCTGGCCCCGGCGGGTGAGCGAGGAGGGCAGGAGGAGAGGGGCGGGTGGGAGAGGGACTTGGCGGGCGCGGCCGGCCGGGCGGAGTGGCCGGGGCTGTCCGTGAGGGCGAGTCTGTTTCTTCCGAGGGAGACGCGACTTGGCGAGGCGGTGCGGGTACAAGTGACGTGGCCGGTGTGAGTCAGCCCCGAGGTCGCTTTCCCTCAACCCGCTCGGGGTCGCGGCCGCAGCCCCCTTCTCCGGAAGAACTGGCTGCGCACGCGGCCCGGCGCGCCAGTTCTGGCTTCGGGAGGCGGCTTCCAGCAGAGTTTGAAAACAGTTAACCACAGTGTGTGTCCAAGTTGGAGAGTCGAGTCTCTCCGGAGCGCTCTCCCAGGAGGGGAGCTCCTCCTCTCCTGTCCATTGACAAATGCTCCCTGAGCAATGCAGGGTGCCACGCAGCGCTTCCGTCATTGCTAGGCGGAGGGGCCAGGGTTCCACCCTGGGATGGGGCAGAGCATTTGGATTTGATTAGCCCGGCCACCTCCTCCCAGCCTTGTGACTGAGCCTGGCTGACGGCGCTTGTTGTCTGAGCCCCGCTGTGCCTCTCCCTACGGTCTGGCTGGTGCCCTGCCCCAGGAGGGCCTGGAAGAGGGAAGGAAGCAAGAGAGGGAGACTAAGTTGAGACGGAAGGAATGGGGCGATGGGGGGAGCCCGTCGGGGAGACAGAGGGGACAGGGAAGCCTGGAGGCAGCGAGGACTTAGGAGCAGGGTGCTGAGTGCTGAGTGTGTGGCTCCCCCCCACCCCGGTTCTGAGGATCAGAGGCATTTCGTCTAGAAGCCTGCCTTTTTGCAGTCCTCCTCTAAGCAGACCCGGTGGAACCTCTGGGGCGAGTTTACTGCAGCCCAGGTTGGCTTAAAGGACAGCAGGATTCTGGAAAAGGCTTTACCTATAAATAAGTGTGCCCCGCCGCTCTGTGGAGGTCTGGAGATAGTCCTCCGCCAATGTGAGAATTATGTGGATAATGAGCCGAGTTCTGGGAAAGACCCTGCTCTCATGACATCTCCTTTGGCCTGGAAGGCAGCAAGTGAGAAGGCCCTGAGCCAGAAGGCATGTCTTCCAGCTGCTCTTTCTGCCGGTATTCTCATATTCACAGCCGGCTGGAGATGGTGCGGGACTATTTCACGTTTTCCCTAGATTTGGCTATTTGGCTGTTAGTGTTGTTATATTTTTAATTTAGCAATGAGTGCCCAAATTAGGAAAGTATAGAACAGCAGCTTATTCAATGACTGCAGTCCTTTCTGGAGCCGTGGTGGCACAGTGGTTAAAAGCTCTGGTGCTAACCAAAAGGTCGGCAGTTCAAGTCCACCACCCGCTCCTTAGAAACCCTATGGGGCAGTTCTACTCTGTCCTTATAGGGGCGCTATGAGTTGGAATTGAGGGTCCTTTCTGGAACAAGGTGGGACAAACACTTTTGAGCCTCTGGGGGCAGGCAGAGTCTGCCCTCCCATCCACTGTGATCCCGAGCAGACTGGTTGCAATCTTTGTTTCCATTTGGTTCCTCACCGGTAGCATTATACCTGTCGCCTGCATTTTGTCGTGAGGATTAAAATGGTTGGTACAGTGTCTAGAATAAAGTAAGCCACCCATAAATGCAAGTTGTTGCAGACCTCCTCCTGGCAGGTGAGCAAGGAGGGCAGGTGGAGAGGGAAGAGGTGGGAGAGGGCCTTGGCGTGACCTAGCATTAGCTGATAGGTTGTGGTGCAGAGGTGGGAGGAGGGGTGTGGGATGCACTCCTGGAAATGCCTTACCTGGAGCAGAAGTGCGGTGCATGTGAGGAACTCCAGCTTGCCACGTGCACACCCTGCAGACTCTCCCTGTGTACACAGACTGCTGGGGTCACTCTAGTTTGGAAGGAAAGTAGACACATGGCTAGACACACTCAAAGTGCCTCTAAAGGGTGGAGGCTATCAGTAAAGGAAAGTTTAGGAAGTGGGTAATTGCCGTGGAGAAGATGATAGTCAGAAAGGGGTATGATAGTGTTTTTCAAGTATCTAAAGGGGAAAAAAAATCAGAAATAGGGATTAGGCAAGGTAGTGTGGGCATGGGGCGGTGAGGATGAGGACCAGTGGTCAGTGTAAAGGACTTTCTAACAGCCCAAGACAGGACTGATGCTTTGGCTGGTAACCAGCACCTGTCCAGTTGGGCCTCCCTGCCAGGGCCAGCCCATCACTCTGGGGTGGGGATGGAGATGGTGGCCTGGGACCTGAGGAGGGTGACCTATAGGCCCTTTTCTCCTTTCTAGTCCATGATTCTCTGCACAGAGATAAGCTCTTCTCTCCCCAGCACCTGAGCTTTGTTGTTCAATCCCAGGCGAAGTCCTTTTCCTGTTTTTGATCCTTTTAAATCCAGGGAAATTGTTTGCTAAGTAAAATACAACACAGTAATGTAGAAGAAGATTCCACCTATTTCCATGCAGATTTGCTATTTGCATGAAAAGATTGGATATACAAACCATAAACACAAAAGACAACCAGATGTGTGCATTGTATTGGAAATGCCAGCTCTTCTCAGTATAATTCCCCATCAGATGCCCCCGGTTTAAATTTATTGAAATGTTTCTGGTCTAGGTTAGATTTGCACTCTCTGGATTCATTAAAAAGCTTTGTAGAAAATATGGGTTTGGGAGCTTATGCTGGCAGCAGGCCACTGCTTCTTATAAATGTAGGCCTGAACACCCTCAGAGGGTGTGAAAGTCTGGTCCCTACTGGCATTGTTGAATCTGCCTGCAATTAAAGGATGCCGAGCCCTTTTTCTTGGTCCCTCCAGTATGGCAATTGGGAGAATGTTTACATGGGAGAATGCACCTTTTCTCCCTTCTGTACAAACACTGTGGTGTTAATGCTTGGCTATCATCCACGGGCCTTGTCTGTATCACGATGATATCTACAGGGATTTTTTGTTACTGTGGTATAATATATATAACAAAAAATTTCCCATTTTAACAATTTTTTAAGTGTAATTCATTAGCATTAACTATTGTAAAAATGGTGTGGGGGCAGAGTCTGACCTCTTCTGTCTTCACAAGGGGGAAGGAGAATCAAGATCAACAGCCCAAGGCTGATTCCTATAATAGACATGCCTCCTCTCTCCACCATCTTCACCAATTCTGACATCGACTGTCCATCCCATGGCACTCTCTGCTTCTGTGGTGGGTCTGATAATTCGTTGCAACAGCCACACAGAACGTAATGATTATGGGATTTATTAGGGAAGTAACAAGTTACAGTTTAGGCTCAGGAACACTCAGGATACAGTTCTTCCATCAGGTCAGCCTCTTCTCAGCTGTGCTCACAGTGCACCCCTGTCTCTGGCCCTTGGCCTCTACCCTGCTCAGGCAACCGTTACAAAGCCCTTTTAGCCCCTGCTAATAAGTCCCCAGAGGCACCCCAGGCACTCAGCTTTCTTGCTCCATGGACCGGGAAGCCCATGGCACAGTCTCCTGCAGTCGCTTCTCACTGTCTTCAGGGTTACAGCTCTCTCTCTGTTTCCTGATTCCAGGAGCTTCTCAGAGCAGGGATCCTGGGTCCAAAGGATGCACCCTCGGCTCCTGGCTGTTCTTCTTGGTGGTGGTGGGATCCTCTCCTTATCGCCGCTGGGGTGGCTCATTTCAAGCCCAGTGGGATGGCAAAACTGACGAATACCTTTGGTGTGCCACAATTACAATTACCTGTCACATAGTCCTGCCCAATCACTTGGGTGGGAATTGCAAGACCGTGGCTAGAAAGTCCACACAAAAGTGATCTGTCGCACCACAGTTACATTCACTGTTGTGCAACCACCAGTACTCTCCCTTTCCAAAAGTATTTCATCACCCCAGGCAGAACTCTGTACCCTCTGCAGGGATTTCTAAGCCCCTGCATGGAGTGTAAGCACAGTGCTGTCCACCTCCCTTCCCAGGGGTTAGTTCCAGGTCCTCCCTGAGCCTTCTGTTTGGGGAGCTTGGGCGGGGTTGACCTCGGTATTTGTCTTGCTTCCATCTTGTACTCATTTTCCTTGGAAACTTGATCTCTCACTTTACCCTCCTCTTGATTTGGATCTGATATACCCCACCTCTTCCATTCTTGCCCCCCAGCCCAAGGGGAGGGAGGTAGCTGCTGCTTGCTGGTATTATTTCTGGGCTACCAATGTGTTCCCTTTTTGCCTTTTCCATACTCTAACACTAGTGTGGCCAAGTCTCTGATTTAAATCCCCTCTATGCAATACCAAGGAGCCCTGGTGGTGCAGTAGTTAAACTGCTTGCCTGCCAACTGAAAGGTCTGTGGTTTGAACCCACCAGCCACTCCACGGAAGAAAGATGTGGCAGTCTGCTTCCTTAAGGATTACAGCCTTGGAAACCCTATGGGGCAGTTCTACTGTGTCCTATAGGGTCACTATGACTCAGAATCGATTCAAAGGCAGTGGGTTTGGTTTGGATTTACACAAAACCATTAGGTTCAGGTTTTCCTGCCCAGACCCTGACCAAGGGCAATTGCCTAATTTATGCCTCACACATTCAGGAAGGTTTACACTTTAAAATGCAGCATGCAGAATTTCTCCATGGACTGTTTTGGACTCTTGAAGTATTTTGATCCTTTTTTTATAGCCTTGTGAAGTCTGAGCTCTCTTCACCACCACAGCAACAGGTTGTGTTTCTAGAGTAGTTAGGTGATCTTTGATTCTCCATTAGTGAATATTAGCATTTTGGTTTTGCATTCATTTGCTCTGCAAACTTTTGCTGAGTGCCTACCAGGTGCCAGGCAAT